TGGACACTGGACTGGACACTGGACTGGACACACAGCCAGACACTGGACTGGACACACAACCGGACACACAACCGGACACACAACCGGACACTGGACTGGACACACAGCCGGACCCGAAGAGGCTGGACAGTGCCCGGGGATCTCCTCATCCATCACCATCCTCAGCCTGGGGGGAATGGCGGGAAACGAGGGAGAAAATGGCGGGAAACGAGGGAGAAAATGGCGGGAAAACAGAGGGAGAAAATGGCGGGAATGTGAGGGAGAAAATGGCGGGAAAATGAGGGAGAAAATGGCGGGAAAACGAGGGAGAAAATGGCGGGGAAATGAGGGAGAAAATGGCGGGAATGTGAGGGAGAAAATGGCGGGGAAATGAGGGAGAAAATGGCGGGAACATGAGGCAGAAAATGGCGGGAAAATTGGGGAAAGGGAGAAAAGGAGGGGAAAAACGGGAGAAGAGGCAAAAACCTGGGAGAAAGGAAGGAAACGAGGGAGAAACTGAAGGAAAACTTGGGAAAAACTGGGGAAAAACCGGGAAAAACCAGGAAAAACCGGGAAAAACTCGGGAAAAACTCGGGAAAACCCGGGAAAACCCGGGAAAAACTCGGGAAAAACTCGGGAAAAAACGGGAAAAACCCGGGAAAACCCGGGAAAAACTCGGGAAAAACTCGGGAAAACCCGGGAAAAAACGGGAAAAACCCGGGAAAACCCGGGAAAACGAGGAAAGGGGGGGAAAATCCTTCCGGAACATTCCCGGCAAATCCGTGTCCAGGTGGGGCCGCCATGAGGGCCGGGCTGCAGGAGGGCGACCGCATCGTCAAGGTCGGCGTTTCCCCCATCCCGAATTCCCTCCGGGGGAATTCCCGGAGTTTTTCCCGCCCTTTTTGTGTTGTTTTTTTCCCTTTTTCCCAGCTTTTCCCGGGGTTTTTGTGTGGCCCAGGTGAACGGGACGATGGTGAGCAACAGCTCCCACCTGGAAGTGGTGAAGCTGATCAAGTGTGAGTCCGGAATTCCCGGGAATTCTCTCCTCATTCCGTGGGAAAAGGCGGATTGGGGGCGCTCTGGGGGAGACTTTTCCGTATTTCGGGAATTTTGGGGGGGTTTGGAAGCGTTTCCACCCCTTTTTTTCGGGAATTTTGGAAGCGTTTCCACCCCTTTTTCCCCCCCATTTTTTTCCAGGAAATCTTTCCTATCCCAAATTTTTCCCGGGAATTTTTTTTTTTCCTGGAATTTTTTTTTTTTTTTTTTGCGTTTCTTATCCCAAATTTTTTTTCCTGGAAATTTTTCCCACCTCCTTTTATCCCAAATATTTCCCGGCAATCCTTTCCCTCCCGTTTTTCTGGAAGTTTCTCCTCATTCCCCTTTTCCCAAGGGATTTTTTTTTTTGTCTGGAATCTTCTTTATCCCAGATTTTCCCAGGAATTCCTTCTCCCTCTCGTTTCTCCCGGGATTTTTTTCCCCCCCTTCCTTGGGATTTTATTATTTTTCCCTTTTCCCTTTGTGAATTTTCCATTTTTATCCCAAACTTTCCCTGGAATTTCTCCGGATCCCGTTGTTGTTGTTGTTGTTTTCCAGCCGGTGCCTACGTGGCCCTGACCCTGCTGGGATCCCCCCCCGGATCCCTGGGAATTCCGGGATCCCAGCAGGAGCCGGAGCCCCCGGGAGGTCCCCAAGGGCCCCCCCAGCTCATCACCGAGCCCAGGCCCCTCCAGGTGAGCCCCAGTTCCAGAGGCAATCCCAGAATTCCAGAGGCAATCCCAAAATTCCCTCAGGGAAATCCCAAAATTCCAGAGGCAATCCCAGAATTCCAGAGGAAATCCCAAAATTCCAGAGGCAATCCCGAAATTCCAGAGGCAATCCCGAAATTCCAGAGGAAATCCTGAAATTCCAACAGGGAAATCCCAAAATTCCCTCAGGGAAATCCCAGAATTCCAGAGGCAATCCCAGAATTCCAGAGGAAATCCCGAAATTCCCTCAGGGAAATCCCAAAATTCCCTCAGGGAAATCCCAAAATTCCAGAGGCAATCCCAGAATTCCAGAGGCAATCCCAGAATTCCAGAGGCAATCCCAGAATTCCCTCAGAGGCAATCCCGAAATTCCCTCAGGGAAATCCCAAAATTCCCTCAGGTGACCCCAGATCCTCCCCAGGAGATCCCAAAATTCCTTGAGGGGATCCCAGCCCCCACCCCAGGCCAATCCCACATTCCCACATTCCCATTCCCAATCCCACATTCCCATTCCCACATTCCCATTCCCATTCCCACATTCCCAATCCCCGTTCCCATTGTTCCCACATTCCCATTCCCATTTTCCCATTCCTATTCCCGTTCCCATTTTCCCCCATTCCCAATCCTATTCCCATCCCCCCAATCCCATTTTCCCCCATTTCTATCCCCATTCCCACATCCCCATTCCCACATTCCCATTCCATTCCCACATCCTCATTCCCATTTTCCCATTCCCATTCCTGTTTTTCCATCCCCATTCCCCCATTCCCATTTTCCCATTCCCATCCCCATTGCCATTCCCATTTTCCTGTCCCCATTCCCATCCCCATTTTCGCTCATTCCCATTTCCCCAATCCCATTCCCATTCCCATTCCCATTTTCCTGTTCCCGTTTTCCCATTCCCATTCCCACATTCCCCCATTCCCATTTTCCCCATTCCCATTTTCCTGTCCCCATTCCCATTCCCGTTTTCCCCCATTCCCGTTTTCCCCAGTTCCCATTCCCGTTCCCCATTCCCATTTTCCCATTCCCATTCCCATTTTCCTGTCCCCATTCCCAGTTCCCATTCCCCCATTCCCATTCCCCCATTCCCAGTTCCCATTCCCGTTTTCCCATTCCCATTCCCCCATTCCCATTTTCCCCCATTCCCAGTTCCCGTTTTCCCGTTCCCATTCCCCCATTCCCATTTTCCCATTCCCATTTTCCAGTTCCTGTTCCCATTCCCATTCCCCTATTCCCAGTTTCCCGTTTTCCCATTCCCATTCCCATTCCCATTCCCAGTTCATTCCCAGTTCATTCCCAGTTCCCATTCCCCCATTCCCATTCCCATCCCCATTCCCATTCCCGTTCCCATTCCCCCATTCCCAGTTCCCATTCCCAGTTTCCCATTCCCCCATTCCCATTCCCAGTTCCCATTCCCAGTTCCCATTCCCGTTTTCCCATTCCCATTCCCATTCCCCCATTCCCATTTTCCCAATCCCATTTTCCCCCATTCCCATTCCCATTCCCCCAT